AAAGAGAGTGAAGATAAACCTTACTGGATTTTGTATGATAAACATCTTTTACAGTGACTTTTGTATTTTCTATTGTATTTGCATTTGACAAGCGCTTTTTAGTGGGCACCACTTTACTATTATACACACAGAATTCTTGTTTTCTACAGAAATATTACAGCTTGTTATTTTAGTGGTTTTTTTTTTCAGTGACACTGGTTACTTGCTGAAGTTTTCCAACAATTCACATCAGTGATCTGTACGCTTCAGGTAATGGGTGGCGAGTCCTTGGTATTTTTAAGTCATCTAAGTATTTAACAATACTTTCAGAGGAAAAAAACCCCATTCCTTCCATAGCAGTACACATGCTTGCTGCTAAAAACCTAATACTAGCAGCCCTCAATTTCACCTCTGAATTGTTTGAAACGCTGCTCACAAGCGTAAAGAGGTTGTAACCTTGATGCTGGAATGGAACTAATTCACAAACGTTATCTGAATATACTGAGACATGGATAAAGTTGAAGCAATAGCTGAAAGCATTATGGCTTCGATGCCATAATTTCTCCAGTATTAAGCACAAATGCCTTTAATTTTACTCAGCAGAAGAACGCAGATCATTCAGTAGTGACCAGCCTATTCGGCTCAAGGTGCATCACCTGGGATGGAATGAAGTAAAATTTTGAACTGCACTAGGATTTTATAATAAATTACAGCACAGCTTTTCACATGGCAAGAAAAAACTGCAAGCAAATTTTAATAGCCAAACATTGATCTGAAAATGGAGGGTATCACTTACTTATCAAACTCTTTCCACACTTTGATTTCTGTACTCTTCTCTTTGTTTTCTTGAACAGGTAGCTGAAGTGGCAAAAGAAGTTTTTTTCTTACACCTGGCAGTGACTTTAAATATGAAGAAAAGAAAGACCGTAGAGGCTTCAAACTGCATATAAATGGACAAAGTAAAGATTACTTTTAATCTCAGACTAAGTGAAAATCCAAAGTAAATTAGTGTATTTATAAAATAACATATTCACTCTGGTTTATGTTTTGCAGCCCTAGTGCAACGTGTTATGTTTTGATACAAAGTGAAATGAAATAATATTCAATTTAGTAACAGTAATAACAATCATTTGGGTTAGTGCTTTGAAATTCCGTTCAAAATAAGAACATATCATGTTCATCAATATGTCAGTTTGCCTTACACAGGCAATGGTCACACGGAACAAGTATTCTGACTTAGAAGCAAGTTTTTTTTTTTTAAGAACTTTGATGCTTCATTAATTATTTTTCCACTTTTATTCCAAAATGTTTTCCTTTCAGAAGTACCACAGTAATATGTTAAAGCTATAAATAGGCAAGTGCTAAGCAAAAGTAATATTAGCTCTCTCATTAAAAAAAAAAAAAAGAGGTAACAATATTAAATGGTTCATTAAGAACAACCAGCTCATTGCTCTCAGAGTATGAAACTACATGTAACAAATATTGGCTTAGAGCTTTTATTCCCAGTTAGAAACACTACTTCAAATAATCTACTAACAAGTGAGTTTTGTCAGCAGTATAAACTTAGTTTTGTAGTCAAAGACCACAAGGGTTATAGTTAGCCACCACACCATTTTGACTAATAGTCGCTATATACAATGAAATCCAACTTCCACTGGCATAACCCATGTCTGTTTATTACAAGCACCCACAAAGAGTAAACAAGACCACTAGACTATTTAATAATTGCTGGAGAGTACTCAAGACAGGCAATTTTCAAACACAAAGAAAAGGAAGACACAACTTCAGTCAGTACAACGTAGTGATCACGTGCCAGGACATAATGTCATTATATACATGAAAAAGAAGGTTTATAGAATAACTTACTTTGTACGAAAGCAAGCTATAGAAACTGTTTTTATAGCTTAAGTTAACCTCCCCGTATTCCTCAAATAACTACTTACATGTTAATTAATCCATGGGACCCATTTGGATACACCAGATAGCATGAAGGGACTGAGGTAATACCAAGTTTCTCGAGAAAAGGCTTATCAAAATTCAATGCTCTCTTTACAATGATATTTTCATACTGGATCAAGTCTAAGATAACCTGGATAATGAAAAGATGACATGAATTATACATTGTTCAAGGAATATCCAATCTTGTAGGACAAGACATATAAATAGGTGAAGTGCATCATCCTTTAAGAATATCATTAAGCTGTTCACCAAGGAAGTACATCTATGAGTATCCTGTGGATGCTAAATTTCAGTTAAGATTTATTCTTCTCTGGAAATTATTTACTCCTATCTTCCTTTTTTTTTTTGGTCTGTGCTGATCTTTTCCCTCTGAAGTCTAACATCTGAAGAAAATATGACAACAAAATGTCCTCATAAACCTCAAAATCGCCCAGAGGATATTCCACAGACACCAACAGGTCTATGTTTTTTGTTATATAAGAGTCTAAAGGCAAGATTTCAGGTAGTGAAGAAACATTGGTCCCACCACTTTACACCATTCTGATGTCCAAGTCCATGACTTTGAAAAGGATTAAGGGCTTCACAGGAGTTAAGGCTTTGCCTGGTAAGCCCAGCCAAATCAAGCTGTGTCTGTTCAGTTCTTCTTGTTTACCAAGCCCACAGCAGAGACTCCATACAGGAATACGTGCCTATATCTCATGAGTTCACAGTCCAGGATCTTAGCTCAAACCAATCTTCATCAGTTGTTTAAACCTGGTGCTGGGCTTTTGCACCAGAGCAGCGGGGAGTGGGCACAAATTTCTTTGCAAGGTGTAAAATTCAGCAAAGGGTGGAGGAAGCAGCAGGGGGTGGTAACATCAGGATGCCTCAAAGATTTGCCAGGACTCAACTATCAAAATTCTTTGCCAACTACAGCCAAAGCTGCACCTACTAATATGATGACTTGGTTATAAGTAATGAAAATTTGCCCTTTAAAAAAAAAGTTTAAATACTCATTTCTTCTCTTAAATCCTTGAAAATCCCACTGCTACAGCCATCCCCTTTTGCCATGCTAATGACCACACTCCTCGCATCCTTCCATTAGCCTATGCTCTTATACTACCATTTCAAATGTTCCATTCTTTCTTACAAAACCTTCCATGCTTCCAAGACTTCTTACCTTTCTACTTGTCATTCTTTTACTTTTACCCCTCTCTGACTCTTCTATATCTTTTTCCTATTGTTTCACAGTTTCCACTATACTTTTCCTTTCCAGGTGATTATTCTTCTTTGCTGTGTTTTCCCTCACTTTCAAACTTGTAATTTAAGAGACCCTTCCTTCCTTCCTTCCATCAGTGATAAATGCATGGCCTTCCTTTCTTCAACTGTTGTGACTTCTATTAAGTTTGTCCATATTGTTTTATACTGTAAATTTGAAACCAATGTTATTTTCTACTTCACTAAACTATTGCATAAAGCTAAAATACTACATAACATTAGCAAATATTTTTTATTTTGAAAGCAGACTCCGCTTTCTGTTAATCAGATG